AAAAAAAAAAAAAAAAAAAAGACCTCGCTATCGGCAACAATGCGACGGCATTCCTTGAGGACAGCAGGGGTAAGGAAGACCTCTTTGCGAATCATGGTATCGTTCTTGTAGTTTGAATTGTTAGCATAACGGAGCTTGCCATCTGGCCTAAACTCGAACTCTAAGAACTCGTGCCCGAATTTTCCTTTATGACCCACATAATATCTCAGGTAAAACTCGTCGTTCTCTGCCATCTCTCCCATCTCTTCTGGAAAAATATGGTGTCAATGGAGTCTGTCTCCCTTATAAGTCCAAACAACATCGCCGTTGTATTAATGAGGCCCAAAGGCTGCTTTCTTCAAATTTTTAAAGCCCACGTTGCCCAGCTTAGGATTTTGGAGGTGTAAAGTGTTTAGACCCTTATATTAATGAATAAACTTCCTTCGTCCCAAAATAATTATTCTAGTTTATTTGACATGGTAATTTTGTGAAAAATTGACCATAAAATAATAGTGTCAAGTAAAATTTTGATGTGATGCTCACTTTTGCGTCACCCATTGAATTTGTACCTACTTATTAAAAAATATTTAATTGATACTCAATTTTTGAGTAACTTCATATACATACACTCTTTTCCCCTTCGTTGCTGCTTTCTTGGACTTCTGCTTCTTCTTCTTAATTGCAAAATGAGTTTGTTTAATTTGTTATTGTTTTGATAATTTAATGGTTGAGATTTGTTCTTTGTGATATTTGAAAATTATGTTTCAAATTTCAACTCATTTTGAGTAGATTTGGGGAATTGAATCGTGTGTTGAATTGTTGAAATTCCAAAAACAAGTTTATGTTTCAGGTCCGAAATATAAAGTTGCATTGAAGAGATTGGACTACTTAAAATTCGAATTTCTGAACTTGCATTTGAAAGATAGAAGAACTTCAGATTTGATTTCTAGAGTTGTATTGAAAAGATTGAACTACTTAAGATTCGAATTTCTGAAGTTGCATTTGAAAAATAAAAGAACTTCAAATTTGATTTCTGAAGTTACATTAAAGAGATTGAACTACTTCAGATGCAAATGGGTACACTTTATAAAAATTTGTGTAATGTGCGTATGACTTCAATGGTGGCCCTAAAAGTTTAGGGAGTATATATAAAAATGCCCCAATCAATAATGCTTCTTTCGTCCCAAATAATTATTCTTAACTATTTTTTGAGATAAGAAATTCACTTAATTTTATCTAAATACAAAAAGCCACTAGATTATATTTTTAATTAATAATCATGTATTTTTGCTTAAATATCAAAGAGAGTTACTAGGAGAAAACATATGTAATATTTTTATGATACTTAAGCAAAATATCATAACCACTAGATTGTGTTTCTTTTTTGGTATATTTTTCTTTTACTTTACTAACTTCCGCATGACACGTTTATTTCGATCCTAACCGTTCATAATTCTCATTTTAAACTTCAACATCAATTACTTTGTTTTTTACTTTAACCTTATCGTCAAACGCCTACTTGGGTTCCAATAGAAAGCTTATTTTGAATGGAATACATTTTAGACATTTTTTCTTAAATACTAACAAGGCACTTTTTTATTGATATTTTAAGTATGTAAAGCAAATGGTTGCATGATTAGAATGATGTTAAGTAAGTAATCTGAATTAGATTTTGATAGGTAGATACATTTTCAATTTTCTTTTTCTTAGCTAATATACATGTTGTTCAACCAAAGAAAGATGATGGATACTTGTCAAGAGATCTCCAAATCGGAAGGTATAAAATTACGTCTCATAATTGTCCTTTGCAATCCACGAGAACGTATACATCTTTCTCATATAACATAATCTTCAATTCTAGGCGAAATAATTGAAAACATAGCATGCATCCTCAAAGGACTGCATTGAAGAAAAGTACAGTTAACAAATTAAATGCTCAGAGTAAAAACCCAACAAGTAAACAAACCAAAACATACCCTCTTAAACTGTGAAAATCCTCATATTCACATGAACCAAAATAGCAAGGACAAGATTCCAAGGGTTACTAAAAGTAGAGAACTACTTAAACCAACATGGTTAGACAAATTAGTAGTAGAACTAGGAACAACAGCAGAAGGGTTATTATTTCTCTTGGAAGCTGAAGGTGTAGGAAAAGAGACCCTGGTCTGAGGTGCTGGTGCTGCAGTTGGAGAAGCAACTCCATTTTCTGCAACATTTACATGAAGTTTCATTCCTCCAAGGCAATGTAATCTGTTCCCACAAACAAAATAATTGTCCCTCGGCTTTGTTAATGGAAAAGTTGTATTGCCTTTACTGCTCGATTTTAGTGCATTTGTTGTGTTGCACCTATCAAAAGTCTCCTTCGTTACCTCATACACGCTATGGTAATTTGAGAATTGGAACACTACAAAAAATATGAGTCGATATCGATATATGTAATTAACTAAGATTTGAGGAAATTAAGTTTTGATCTATAAATGTGTAAGTAGAGAAGATGATATACTTACCAAGAACATCACCAACGATGAATCTTTTTCCTAATAACCATGTATCAAGATCAGTACTAATATCCCAGCCAGAATTATCACCCACCAGGTAGTTAGTGGCTGAACCTGAGTATGCAATTGCAAGAATTACTAATATGACATAAACTAATAGAAGCTTTGCCATAATTGTAATTACTAGGAAGAAATATGAAAAATGGGCTATATATAAGTATAGTAAGTTTGTGACATGCAAGATTGGAGATTTTGTAATTAGATCACCTAACTATAGAACAATAAAAAGCTATAGCTTTCATAAGGGAATTACAGTCTGCACCTTTTTTTCTCCTAAAGTTGCAGAGAGGAACATAAAATGTTTGTTGAGATTATGGAGAAACAGAAATTATTTTAAATTGTTGTGTTGGGTAAGGTGGTGGAGCATAAATTGTCCTATTTTGGAAGGCAGTTTAACGCCTATTGACTCCAAATTATTCTTTCTCTCTGTCTTTTCACTTTGGAAATGTTATCTTTTTATATTGAAAAACAAATTAATTTTATAATTTCATATCGCCAAGTTTTGAACAAAATAAAGTGCCTGTTGAAGCATGAGTCGGCGACTCATAGGCAGTCACTTGGTTAAGGGAACCCACCGGAGCCGTAGCGAAAGTGAGTCTTCATAGGGCAATTGTCACTGCTTATGGACCCGAACATGGGTGATCTATCCATAACCAGGTTGAAGTTTGGGTGAAACTAAGTGGAGGTCCGAACCGATTGATGTTGAAGAATCAGACCTAGTTGGGGCTTTGTGGTATAATTCTTTGCCGAAAGAGGTCTCTGCCGACCCACAACTAATCTCCTACGACTTCCTCCTCCCCTTTTGCTCATAAGTAAGCTCTTCTCCACGGCATATTTTGACTCTATAGAAAAGGCAAATCTTTCCTCGAATTGAACTCTTGTAACCAAACCGTTCTATACTCAATTAAGGAATAGAGTTCAATTTTTTTTATTTTCATTGTTTAATCAGCTATTTCGTATTTATTTTATTTTCAGAAATCTAAAACAAAAAATAGATTTTTGAAGACAAAATAGAATACCTTTAATAACATATTTTCATACATACAAAAATATCATGACATGCTTAAGACCGCAAACTTTATATATATATATTTTTTTTTAAAAACACACATCATATAAAATGAAACACAGGAAGAAGGTGAGAGGTTAAAAAAAGGTGGACAAACCAACATCAGTAAACCAAGGAAAAAACAAGTGAATAGTAACTGGAGTTTATCAGAGCAAAATCAGCAGTTCAAAATTGCCATTTGAGCTTGCTCTTAATTACTGTTTGAATTAGTAGGCAATGTAATACTACATTCCTTACTAGCGAATGATAGATATCGGGACACAGTTGCACTTTTCTTCTGTTAAATGTTCATTGACACGTTGCTCAGTCTATTACCTGACATTATTTCTGGCGGAATAGTTGTTCTGAGCATTTTTATCTTGTCTATGTTCCCTCTCAAATTTCTTTCTAACGATGAGATGATTTACAAGGATGGCAAGTGGGCCGGTTTCGGGTCTAAACGGGTCAAGTGGGTCGGGTCTAAATGGTCCTGTGCCGATCTCAAATTAAACGGGTCAAACGGTCTTTTTGTATGGATCGGTCCGGGATCGAGCTCGGGACAGTTTGATCCCGAGGTTAAACGGTTCCGGCCCGCGGACTAAATGGGCTTAACAGATTTTAAAAAAAAATATTAAATAGGAGTTATCTTATTATCTTATTATATTATTATATAAAGGGGACAAGAAATAATGGAGAATAAAGGGGTTATCTTATTATATTATTATATAAAAGAGGACAAAAAGTAATAGAAAATAAATGAGTTATCTTATTATATTATTATATAAAGGGGACAAGAAGTAATGAAAAATAAATAAGTTATCTTATTATATTATTATAAGTAATTAAAAAAACAATACGCACATACACACTAAGACTTTCAAATGCACTCTTGGACATAACATATTTTTAATTAACTCTAGTAACTACTATCTTTGACGGAAAAAAGATAATAATAACAAACTGTTATAAAAAAAATTAAATTATGGTGGATGTTTAGTCTTCCTCCATGATTTTCTCAAATGCTTAATGATATATTTATTGACATATTTCTATACTTAATGATATATTCAATGACATATTTTTCTTCACTTTTTATGCCTATATAAAGGCCTTGTAATAGATAGGAGAATACACACAATTGAAGAAGAAATAAGAATCCCTCATCTCTTTCTCTCTATATCTTTTAGCTTGTTTTTCTTTGTTCTATATTGTTACTTTGAGCTATATTTCATAACAAGTTATCAGCACGAAGTCTCTGACCTCAAGGTTGAATTCCACTTATGTGTTACATGCACGTCTTTCTGCTACAGCAACAAGTCCGAGCTTTAAACCAGATAAGTTTATACCAATATTTGGAATAAGCAATAGTATGGTATTAGAAAATTAGTATTTATGTGGCTGCTAAGGACGTCACCCTGTTAAATTTTCATGAACTAAATAATAGGTGGCATGCGGTATACTAAATAATCTACAAAATTAAAATTATATTTTATTATGTATGCTTATGGTTTTATCTTATAATACAATTTTAGTATGCTTAGTATAATGATTATACATTAGTTTACTGTCAAATATAATCTAATAATAATATTACTCGTAACTATTTTATTTTAATAAGATAAAATATTAGTATAAGAAGTATGTACTACACCAATTTTTTTTATTGAATAGTTCTTATCAAATTAACATGTTGAATCATTTTTATATGGAAAGCATATAGTAGTAGATAGTAGACATAGATTTGTCCACTCTTTTTTTTTATTCCATGATTAACCTAAAGGTTCTGCTATATCTCTTTGTTTTTCTAGAGAGCATAATACCTAGTTTTCACAAAAGTGCATGGTAACTAGTAGTACTATATTATTCTATTTGATACATTATTTTTATTTAATGTTCTGGTCATATTAATTTCATCCTTAAGTAAGCTTATTGCAGCAAAGACTACATGTGAATTTTTAATATTATTTTGTATTTTCATATATCAGTTTGACACTAATTACTTAGCTGATTTGAGTAAATAAAAGTCTATTGTTGAGAATTATATCCAAACGACATTATGAAGAGTTTAACTCAAGAGATAAGCATTTTTTTTGTATTTGAAATTATTTTTTTCCTTTGCTATTAATGATATCAACTTCAATGAGTTCAAGTCGCAATGTACCATGAGGGTAAGACATCAGGATCAAGTCCTGATGCTCCATGATGATAAGAGTTGGGTTTGAGTCTCAATTCATTATGGCCTAACATGCCTTTATATTGGTAACATATTGGGTTGAGTCATACTATACCATATTGATGATATATTGATGACTAAAGAAAAATAATATATTTTTCATGAAAAGGCATGAATATTGTCCCCCTTGATTTGCTCCATTCTTGAAGTGAATATGGTAGCGGCGCATAATAAGTCTAAATGAAGACAAGTGGTTGAATAATGAATGTGGACGTTTCAAAGATCAAAATAATAATAATCATCACTATGATTATAAAAGGAGAACAATAAGGGCTCTCAAGATAGTCCTACAAAATGTGAAGGCAATGTTTACCATCATATTGGTATGAAAAATAATAAAGTATGTTGCTGATTATGATCCATTCCGTGAAGAGGATGTGACTTGTGATAAGCATTGAGAATGCAGACCTATTCCTTAAGGTGAATGTGAAAATATGTGATAAAAGTAATAAATAAAGACATGCAATGCATGATTAGATGAATACCACACAACTCACCTCTAAGGGAGGTTTGAGTCAAATAAAGAGAATAAATATTATTGTGTGGTTACATGAATATATCATTGGTCGTGTACATGTGATACGCCAAAAAACAAAATATATTTTATTGTGCTTTATAAAAGGTTATTAAAGGCAAAATTAAAGCAAGAAATAATTTTGCTTATGATGACTTTGACAATGACAATCTATTATGATATAATTTTCTCCGTGAATGAGACATTTACCATATGAATGGTGTGACAAAAGATTTTGTAGTACAAAAGTTGTTAAGAGCTTCGGAAAAATTAATTTATTACTACCCGGATGAATAAAATTATTCACGGCATTGATATTGTAAAGTCTCAAAAGAAACTTTTTGAGTTTCAAATGTATAAGTCAAAGTGGTTGGAACATTGAGACTATAAATGAAAGGAATATTGAATATCTTCATATTTCTATAATCATAACGAGTAAATATGAAAGGTTACTCGATTTTCTTTCTATTTGTACTACTCAAATATAAGCATGATGATGGAATCATATATCACAAGTAAACTAGAGGTTTACTGAAACAAATATTAATTGGCATGACCGGTTCAATTATGATGCGAAAAATTAATTAAAAATTATATTGGCATATATTGAAGAAATAGAAGATTCTTCAAGAATTCTCTTGTGTTGCTTATTCTAATGATATACCAGTTAAGGTTGGGATTGAATCCCTTGATTTCTGAAACAAATAAAAGGTGATAAATATATGGGCCCAGTCACCTGCCATGTGGACCGTTTACTATTATATGATTTTAATAGATGCATCTATTCTATGGTCACATGTTCATATGTTATCAACTTGTAGTTTGGCTTTTGCAAAATTGATTGCTCAAATTATTAGAGCACATTTCCAGAATATAAATTATGATGATATATCTTGATAATACTGGTTTAAATCCAAGTTGGTTTACCAGAAACTGTATGCCTCCAATTATATTTAAACCATTGGTTATGAGAACAAAACTGTCAAAATAAAATTTGGTATGTGATGTATTATTTAATATACAACAACACTTGTACGCATCTAGCCAAGTTATGATAAGTTCTCCCTATCACAATCGGTTCAGGGTCAGGAACCAATTAATTTCTATCTAGAAATATGAATGTGCTAAATGATTTAATTATTCCACCACAATGCACAAAGATGGATCCCCAAATAAGGCTAGGGATATGTGTTGGTGATCCTAACAATAGGGGGAGACAATGAACAGCTGAAAAAGTAATGCATGTAATGAATTATTATAAGTACATCTAGATCCTCGTACGAAAAAATGTAAACTTGAAATTCAAGTGATAATTCA